CTCACTAATGCCTAGGATATCAATCTTTATGCATTCCATTTCATTTTTGACAACTTCCAATTTTCCTAGATTCATACTTTGTACATTCCATGTTCCAATCATTAATGGATGTTTGCAGCTGCTTCTCCTCAATTTCAGTCATGCTATGTCAGCAAATGGAGGTCTCAAAAGCTTTACTTTATCCATATCATTAAGATTAGTTCTACTCTGATGAGGCAGCTCTTTCCCAGTCATATTGTGAGTGCCTTCCGACCTAAGGGGCTTGTCTTCCTGTACTGTATTGGACAATGTTTCTGGGCTATTCATAAACTTGCCTAGTAATGTATCAGACAGTGTTCTTCTGCTATTCATAAGGTTTTATCTGACCCCAATTCTTTGAGAAGTGGATGGCCTCTTCCTTCTTCCTAGTCTGTCTCAGTGTGTAAGCTGCGTTAAAACCTGTGTACCCTGTGCAACCCTGGTGGCATCTGAAACACCAGTGGCACAGCCTCAAGCCTCACAGCAACACACAAGCCACCACAGTAAGACAAACTGACAGACAAGTTTGTCTCTGTTAGCTGTTTGAAACCTCTCCCCCCTCCCCTTACCTGGATCCTGTGGCTTAGAATAGAATTGACCTTTGGTTCTTTGATAGAGAAAACAGGCTTGTCATTTCTTGGCTAATTCTTAGGAAGGGACATTTTCTACAAGTGATTGAACTCCACTGAGTCCACTTCTGTTGCTTCTTGGTAATAAGAAGAATGGAAGAGAGATACAGTGCAATGTTATATAGAGAGAGTGGTCATTGGAGTTAGAGAGATTTGAATTGAATCTTGGCTCTACCATATAAGAACTTTGTGGCCTTGGAAAATTCTCAGAGGCTTGGTGTCCACATCTCTAAACCCTCACAGGGTGTTGTTGTGCAGGGTGTTGTGCACTGAGGAGCAGATTGAGCAGTTAATGCATATAGGTGCTTAGTGCAGTGCCTGGTGCACAGTGGGTACTCAGTAAGCAGGATCCATCTTAGTAACAGAGTCATGCTGTGTGCAAACATGTAGGACAATGCTTCATGCATAATAAGCATGTCTAAAATTCTAGTTTTCCTTATGTTCTGTGAACACTGAATAAAAGCAGAAGGGGAACCTTGGGAGGCTTCCTGCAGGCCCCCCAGAAGAGGGTAGTGTTGCCTCTATCTGGGCTGGATGGAATAGCAGAGGGATATTGAACTGGGTATTGAACTGGACAAGCCCTTTCTGATCCCAGCTTCCAGAAGTTCCTATCAAACAATTGTGGTGCCTGAGTGGGCTCCTTTAACTGTTTTCTCACAGAGTTCTTTCTGAGTATGAGGTGGATAAAGCATAGACCTTTGCTGTTTAGGAGAAAGGGGCATAGAAGTCCCTCTAATTCTGAAAGACAGGGTACAATTGACACCTAATGTTGGCAGGGCAATGGGCTGGCCCCTTTGAAGCCAGACCAGGAAACTCTTATGTACCAACCAGCATGATTGGTGAGGAGTCCTGACTTAGCAAGAAGCCAGAGTAAAGTGTTTTATGAGGTAAAGGACTCTTGTGAGGTGTCTAAATAACAAATGAAAAAATTCCTGAAGAGGGTAAAAAGGGATAATGCTGTACGTGGTTGCCACACCCACTGCTGACAGAATATAAAGCCCTGGAGAGGACCAGGACTTATATCAGAGAAAAAGTATCAGGTTTTGACACTGACCTCAAGAGTCCCACTCCCTCCAGCACCATGTCATACACCTGCTGCCTGCCCAACCTGAGCTGCCGCACCAGCTGCTCCTCCCGGCCCTGCATACCCCCCAGCTGCCATAGCTGCACCCTGCCTGGGGCCTGCAACATCCCCGCCAATGT